CTCGCGTGGGTCTGGGCGGTTCAAGATTCGAGCGAGAGTTCGCGGCTGTGATACCTCAGAACGAGGACCGGGGGCACGCAAGAGAGATCATCTGGTAAGAAATGGCCGTTTAGGTCGCATATGCAGCGCTATCCCACGATTGCCACGATTTTTTGTGCCTCTGCAAAGCCCCAAAAGGAGCCCGAAGCTCTGAAATGCATCTCCCAAAGCCCCGGCACTTTGGGTTTGGGTTGAGGAGCATGCGCTCTTCGAGGAACTGGAAGGCCGAACCGTAGTTCTTGAGATCCTTTTTCCTGTAAGCATGGCGAAGGGTTTTTCAGTGGAGGTGGTGTTGGATGGCATGATCGGATGGGATGATGTCCTGCTATTGAGTGATGGTGATGTTGATATGAGGTTGTGCCTTAGGTTGTCGTGAGGTTGCATGACATGATATCAATAGGTTGGCCGTCAGGTTGGCCCATGTTGACCGGTGGGTTTTCGTCAGGTTGATTCGCTCTCGGAATCTGGCAACTAACTAAGTATCTTTCCATGCAGAGGGCAATGAGGGCAGGGCTAGCTGCTGTCGCCGCGCCTAAAGTTATAATTGGGCTGCGCGTGGTGGAGTGACGATTCGTCCTCGGATTTGGCAGCCCTCTCCAGATGCCTGCGGGTTTGGTCACGCGAAGTGGCACTGCACATGTGATGCTGTGTCGACTCGTGTTTGGAATTGATAGCCCTCTCGGTGGACCCAGCGTGTGCGCATGCTCCGGTAAGCGCGATTGTAAATTCCAGTTCATTGACCTCATGTTGGTCTCGAGACGACAACCCTCTGCCTCGGCGCCGCGCGTGTGGTGATTTTGTTTGCGTGAAATTGCGCTGCGTGTGTGCTTGTCTAAACCCCGCCAGCACATGAAGGGGAGGCATGTTGGCCGTGTCTTGAATCTGGAATCACGCCAGTACATGAGAGGGGAAGCATATTGTTCGAGCATTTCTAGAACGATTCTAAAGACCGGTTTACAGCGGGTTTGTGGAACGGTTCTGGAAGGGTTGGTAGAAGGGTTTAACCGGTTTATATTGTAGAAGGACGGGTTGATGCTGGATGTATGGACGGATGGACGGCGGATGGACGGATGCACGGACGGATGGACGGATGGACGGACGGATGGACGGATGGACGGACGGATGGACGGACGGATGGACGGATGGACGGACGGATGGATGGATGCGTTCACGAATGGATGGATGAACGGATGAGATTATGTTTGGCGTTGCGGTTCTGTGACTGGGCATGAGTGCTTTATAAAGGTTTGCGAGTTGATCTGATCCAGCACCTGTGAAGTTGAAGTCCTTCTGGGTTAACTAAAAGCTGACGGGCGAAGTCCTCAGCAGCGGAAATCCTTAATTGCCACCTGCAGGTCGACTGCAGAAAAAGCTGCAGAGGTCGGCAAATGGTTCGTCTCCAGTAGCTCAGACGGGACAGTAAGTTTTGGGCAGCCGAGATGATGTTGAGTTGCGGAACATTGCGGAATCATAGCGGCAGATGAGGAGATCCGTCATATCAACTCTTGCAAACGCCGTGTCACCAATTACACAGCATGATGCCCAGCAGACCCCAGATTAGAAAGTAGCCGGTCCCTCAACAGATCTTCTTGTCCACAACTGGCCGTGTGTTTGCGTCTTGGGGATAGGGCATGAAACCAGTTGACTCTCATCTGCCTCAGGGTGCGTGTGGATGTGTCCAGCCTGGAGGCGACTCCTGATTTGTGAAAGTCTTGCAACGTTCAGCTTTTCACGGCCCTAGCCCTGGCATGAAAAGTCACATCCAGGGGAGGGCAGCATAATGCTTCGAGCAAATTTACCTGTCTCGTGGTGGTGCTTCATTAACAATGCAACTCTCAAGGCTTTGGAGTGTTGGCAAGGTAGTACAATGTAAGAGCCATGCTTCTGTGGATTTTGTTTTATATCTTCAGTGGAGGCCATGGAGGCCGTAATGCAGCAACTGCCGGAGCTTTCTGGAGTGGTCCACGCCGCGCAGGTGCGAGCCTCCAGCTGTCACTGTTCAGGTCAAAGCCCAAGCAAGGTTCCTCAAACGCTGATGATGCTGAGGCCCCGTTGGGCTACCGAGATCTGGCAGGACAGTCACGCGAAACTTTCCTGGGCGAGTATTCTGTGCGATTCCCATTTGCCAGATATCTTCTGGGTCCGTTGGCTTGAGGATTAGCTGGCAATTGGTCCTTTTGGAGGGCTCTGTGATTGGAGGGTTTGAGCTGGTAAAGAGTCTTAGCATGGCTTTCTACGTGATGAAAGTCAGCGACATGGTTTTCCAGCAGATTCTCTCAAACTTGTGGGCCGGAGGCTTTTCGGCCATGTGTTAAAACTTGACGCAGACTTTTGCTTCGACACGCCTCGTGCCGCTGCAGAAGGCCAATGGCTCTGTCAGTAGCTGTGGGTGTGGGCTAAGAGCCCCACGGTGTCGAGCTGTCCCCCTGCGAAGCGCAGCGGCTGCGAGAGAGCCATGAGCCAAGTGCCCGCCTCAGAATTCCTTTAAACAGAGTTGCAAAGGCAGGTGTGAGCTGCAAAGCGCTCCTCCGCCTCAAGGTGACGACGGTGACGTACCACCGTCAGCTGGATGGTGGGCCCACCATCGCCCAATCCTCAGACCTCCACAGGCCTTTCTCCGGCTTTGTTGTTTCTCAGCAATCCCGAAATAGGTTGTAAAGAACGGCTTCCTCGACGAGAGAGGTGGGCATCAGGACGCGACCATCTCATGTCATGAAGCTCCAGGCAGAGCATAGATGTAAGGTTGTTGCTTCAGAATCCCAAGACCAGGGCAAAACCACCCCTGCCTCGACGAAAAGGAAGAGAAGACTGGAACTCCGTCGCGGGTCGTTTTCTCGAGCGATCGGAGCCGCCACTCATTCCGGTTTCCGTTGTTATGCGCATTGCTTCGATTCTCAGTCGCCTTGTCTTGCTCCCGGCCGTCACCTGTCCAAGAAGCTTATCGGCATCTACATGCATCTACATACTAATAGGGATTGGCTTTTGTCGAAAACTTGCTTGAAGGACGGCCCCGTACAGCGCTCGAAATCTGCTCCCCAGCGACTTGCTGAGACCTCCGACGACCGGGTGATGGCCACAGAGATCAGCGTTTGGGGATTGTCCTGGACTTGTCATTAAACTTCGCGTATAGGACTGCGACTCCGATGGATGCAAATGGATGCCAGAAGTCCGCGATGTCTGGTTGCATTGGATATCAGAACTGGGAATTCTGGCGTACAGTAGGGACTTTCACCCGTGTGCTGAGTCGTGCGGTTTGTGCTCACAAGTTTTGGAGCATACTTGGCATACTTGTGCCGGAGGCAGAAATCCAGACGAACGAGGATGGCAGCGTAAGTAGCTTCCGAGACAGATTCCTGTCAGGCGGGGCGGGGCTGATGCATGTTCCTCAGTCGACACTGTCCAGTCTCCTCACCCTGTATAAAAGCACGACTCGAGCTCTAGGATTCTAGGAAAGCCGTTCAGGTGAACCAAGGTTTCCCCACGCAGCGGCCATCTTCTGCCCCTCCATTGAGTTCCAAAGCAAATGAGCTGGCTAGTCCAAAAAAGATCAGGCCGAGCACGGCAGGCTCACAAGAAACTGCATGTTGCATTTCAACCCAGAACGGAGTTTGTGTTGAGCATCCAGTCTGTCCCGAACCCTCCTCGCAGGGGACGTATCGATCGCCACGAGCGTTGCGGAGCCCAGGAGCCCGTGGTGGCCTCAGATCAGAAGCCTCTTAGTTCTGTAGCAAGCCTTTGGTTGAGCAATGTGCCTTCGGTCAAATGCTATCTTGACGGTCTCAAGGTACGCTGCCCCGGTGGACACGACCGAGGGCCCGTCGGGACTTCTGATAAGTCGCTGGACATTTGATGCAAAATGCCGGGATCAAGCGTTCTGTCGCTTGAGGATGAGTTTCCATTTCAGGGGTTTGGGTTGAGGACAGGATCTGTTTCGGTGTGCGAGGGTGTACTGGAGCAACGCTCTGCGTTCACTTGTTCTGTTACCTGCCATCCGAACTTGCCGTTTGACCTGAACTCCCCGTCGACTTGAGATGCTGGTTAGTCCTGAGTGATCTTAGCGGCGTCGGAGCTGGAAAGGTCCATCTTGTCTCATTTTGCAGAACATGGGATATGAGAATGCCGTAAGAATGCCACTTGTCACACTGTCCTCAGGAAAACCCTCAGTCCGATGCAACATGCAACGAGATGCTTCTTCTTGCTTTCAGATCCAACCGCTGAGCATAAAGCGACCCGGTATCTCAGAGTGACAAGGTGCCATGCAGCAAACTCCGAAGCAACTCATACAGGCGTGGCGGTGCATGGGGTTGGGCAGGGGTGGGTTGGCAGTGTTAAGCATGTGGATTCCATTGCAGATTTTTCTGTCCAGCGGCGAGGTTCATTGTAATTGGAGCTGTGCTGGTGCTGTTTACTCGTGGAGGTGGTGGTGGTTCTGGTGCTGGTGCTGTTACTGCTGGTGCTGCTTGTGCGGCTGGTGGCTGGTGCTGTTGCCGGGGTTACCTTGCTCAAGTGGATGCAGCTTTAGCCGTCCCAAGTACTGTGTCTTACAGGCTCAAGTTTCCAAAAACTGCGTTTTAAGGCGCCTGTTTAGATTTAAATGCCACGGTCAGGTGCTGAGCTTAAGCAAGCTGCGGAACTTGGCGCGTATCCTTTGGACACGGCTCGTCCATGCCCACGTCCCATCCTGTAACGGATTGCAGGAGCCCGCCAACAAAGATGATTTGGCGGCTGATTTCAAGCCGGAGCCCCAGCAAAAGACTTGCGCCCTGGGATACGACGCGCTTGCAGCTACATGGTTGCAACACCTCTCAGTTGGAACATGTTGGAACCCTTTTCACAGTCTCACAGCAACGAGGCCACATAATCGTTCGTTGCCCTTGCAAGGTTCGCTGCGCAAGGATCAGGTGTTGTTCTTGCAGGCGTTGACTTTTCGAGAGACCACCCAGTTTTAGTTCCCGGTCGCCATGGCTCTGAAGTATGCAGTGGCATGCCTCTCCCTCGTGGGCCTGGAGGCCAAGAAGGCATTCATCATCGTGGACACCCAGGAATGCTTCCTGGAAAATGGCAGCTTGCCGGTCATCGCATCGCAGATCATTCCGCAGCTCAACGAGATCCGCAACCAGAAAGATTGCCTCTTCGACATTGTGGTGAAGACTCAGGACGGGCAGATCAACCGACACCTTACCTCCCTACACCTGTTGACCAAAGACCCTGTGCTCAGGACTACCATCCAGCTGGCCACATCTCCTTCGGGACTTCTCACGGCATGGCCCCGGACCGCAGGGTTTCAAAGCTTTCGGATCTCTGTAGCCAACCGAATCCGTCGAAATGGCGCAACTAAGGCCTTTCAGATTTCAGTCTGTGAGCCGAAACATTTCTGTGCCCTGACAGACCTCCCACCCCCGTGAGGATTCTCCCAACGCGGCAATGTCTAACTCCTGGCGCGGGGGCATGCCCCTTGGCTCGATTGAGCATCGGTTTGTTTGACGCAGAGTGGTAGGCTCTAGAGTCTTTAATCTGCACAGGAGCAGCGTTTTTTGATTTCCGCCTCTTGACGGAAGACTACAGCTGCACACAACACTTTCACTCGACCTGCAAATCTCTCTGGGACTGTGCGCGCGGAAGGATGCGGAAGGACGCGGAAGCAACAACTACGTAAGCCGCCGTGCCAGAAGAATACGTCAGTCGAACGAGACTTAACTTGAACCAGCTACTGTCCTGTACTGTTCCAGGGTTCAGGTCTTCTTCCAGGAATCCCCAGGCACGGCCAGGAAGCAAGTGGAAGTCCTGTTCCCTGGAACGGATGTGGCCGGCATTTGCCGAAAGGTGTCAGCGTAATGCGTCAAGAAGGGTTTATGCTCTTGCGGAAGGGTTCGCTTGCAACACGGTCCGCGGAAGGGCACACGGAAGGGACGACATGCATGACTCGGAAACGTGCCAACGCTTCGAAGCGCGGAAGGCTGCAGAAGCAGTGGCGGAAGGGTTGCGCGGAAGGGGTTTTTGCGTCCGTGGGATTGAAACAGAATAAAAAACACAGCTCACATGGGTCGATTTTAAGTACATCCCATTTCCGGAGCATGGGCAGGACAATGCAGTGCATCAAGAATGGAGGCAGCAACGAGGCCTGCTGCCCACAGTATTATGTGAACAGCTCCTCCATCACCTGCAATCCTCCCTTTGAGTACTGCCCTCCGGCCGGCTTCTACAACAACGTTACCAATCCTATGCTCAACGGAAATCCGGCGTGCACCCTGTGCGCAGAGTCTCCAGACCAATGCTTCGGCATGGCTATGGATCTCTGGTTAGATCACTGCCTTCAGAACGGAGATTCTACGCTCTCGCCCAACGTGGTGTCGAAGAATAGCGACATCATCGTCCAGAAAGGGCACCGGTACATCGAGATGTACAGTGCATTTATGGACAACACTAGGAACTACATGAGCGACTTGGACGCGGTCCTGAAGCAGAACAACGTGACCGAAGTGTATGCTGCAGGCATCGCAACCACCCACTGCGTCCGATGGACGGTCCAGGATGCCGTGTTTCTTGGATACAAGGCGAACATCATCATGGATGCTTCCGCTGGAATCTGGGGAACTCCTACAAGCTATGCCAACGAGTCAGAGGCCATTATCGACTTTCAGCGTCAGGGCATCGGGGTCATCAACACCGCTGACCTTCTTGCCATGTCGTGTGAAGCGGATCCTCAGGACACCAGCAGTGCCTCAATGAACGCCTTGGGCTTTCTCTTCGCAGTTTTGAGCCTGGCCAGCCTGCGCTGATCCCGGCTTCGGCTCAGTAGCTCAGCCACGGGTTCACAGGAGCAAGGCGAAGCCTTTCCAGAGACCCATGGCCCGGGCACTGGGACCCCCCACAATGACGAAATAGTGTTTCTGCCCTCGTCGGGCAGGATGCTGTTGCTTGCCCTCTCTGAATGTGAGAGTGCAGATGCTTCGGAGACCTCTGAAGATGCCCTCAGCATCGGAAACGCAAGACTCAGGGTTTGGGATTGCAGCGTTTTTAAGTTCAGCTTGAGACATCCAGTTCCCTCTGCAGCTGCTTCATCCAGCGGATCATGTTTATGAGGCCAGAGGGTTTCCTTTGGTCTGGGAGAGCCGGGTAGCAAGGACCTTGTGCTGCCAAGAAGTCTTGTCCCCTGAAACAGTGATGCACTGGATATCTCTGGATTGTAGCCAACCTGAAGGCTTGGCGAACCTGCAGTGGACTTCGATTTAATTGGCTTTGAGGATGAGGCCGGGACTCATTCAGGTCCATGCCGTTAGCTTGTGGACTTCATGCCTGCGGATCGGCTTTGCTGTGGGAGTTGGGTCGAGGGTCTGGAGTCTAGCGTTGAGAGGTGCTTGGTGTGTTGCATTCCAGAGAACCTCGGGAAGTACGACTTCTGCAAAACCTAGATAAAGGTTCATTCAGGTGTGATCATTGACAGGAAGAGGTATCGGGTTACGACAGGGTGGTTGCATTGTGTGTCGACAGCAGTTGTCGGGTTTCGATTCGGAACCAGGGATAAGATCGGGGCTCGGAGCTGAAACGCACCAATCTCCGGCAGCAAACCCTAAGCCATGTCAGGGGGATGCCAATGTAAAGAAGAGGGCGGGCTCAGAGGCGCGCTGCTGGATTCAGGTGCCCTATTTCCGCAAATATACTCAAGTATTTTCATCCAGACTAGCATCTTGGGCCTGTGCACTTAAACTGACTTTGACACTGGGAAGCCGCAGAGGGCCACTCCAGTTCTGAGAACATTTTCAGGTCAATGAGGACTCGAAGGAAATTAGAGTGACACTTCAGGCTATGTATGACTTGAACCGATCGCTGTGCTCTTGGGTCTCGTGCGCTATGTCTATGTCGTACAATCTGAGCTACCAAGAGCAATCGCTGTACCGGCTGCAATGAATTTCGCTTTCGGCGCTTGAATGGGAAACATTTGGAAACTGTCTCGAAACCAGACTGGCACCCAAGGCCCTAGCCTGAAGTTTCAACAGAAGTGCCACGGTACTCCTCTGCAAAAATTTCGGATGGTGGGTGACTGCAACGGCAACGATCATCACCTGACGGCGGTCATCATCAGAGTTGTCATCATTGTCATCCTCATCATCATCCAAGCAAACAGTCCTCGTGCTCGCCAGTGGAGGATTCTGATCCGCCCTACTCCACGCAGCGGACGCCACAAATGGGACAGACGCCCACTCAAGTGGAGAAGGGTTCTGAGGGACAAAACGGGCACGCAGTGCTAAGTACTCGGTATCCTGCTTGTGGGTTCCGTTGGCCCGGGAATGACGTGGGTTGGTTTCTCGCAGGCGGATCCAGGTTTTGGGAGGCTCGCGGTTACGGTGGGCCCAGAGGTTTACGGACTGTGATTTGGAAGGTAAGATAGGAGGGGACGAATAAGACCAAGAGCCACATAGAGCCACATGCAGACTCCATTGCGTGCATCAAGTTTGCCTTGATTTGCCCCTCCCTCTCTCTCCAAGGGCGCCGCCTTTGGGCGCGCAACTTTCTGCTCAGCTGCTGCAGCAGCTTCTGGCGAGCCAGGCCCTCTTTCGGAGCGAGGGAAGGGTTCTTTCAGAAAGAGGCCGGATTTGGCGAAGAATCTGAGTTCGAGGGTTGTAGATTCCGGTCAGTGGCTTGCAACCCGGAAATCACCCCTGTGCCCTGGGTGGGCAAACTCGCAACATTCCTTTTGAGCAATCTGCCCCTGGAGGTGTTCCAGCAAATGTCTGCCCAACACCTTTGGCAGCAGTCCGGCCGAAAAATCATGTGCTGCTGTGGGTTTGGTGTTTCTGCGGAGTTGAAGGAGTCGCTAGACAGGGGTGTTCCGAATCCCGAACACAACTATGCGGAAGTGCACGGATGGCATCTTCGCATCAACAGCGATGGCCGCAGCGTAGGTCCACACCAGAGTTTAGTCGAAACGGGCATGGGTGCGGAAATGTTGATGCCTTGCAAGCACGCACACACACACAGAGCCCAGTGCTCCGTTTGAGGCTGCAGATGCAGGCCGGTTCAAGGCCGTCATCAGTGCAGCCGTCCATGCACTCGAACCTCGGCTGCTGCGTGCTCTTGAAGAAGTAATGCCTCAGTTGAGGGTGCATGCAATGTGTGATGCATGCACGGCACAGAGAGTCATACTGTGCGAACATCGGTTTTGTTGCACCGTCACGTCATGGGTTTCGCTACAGAAATGCACAGATCCATGGAGCTCTTGTCCTTGTACCTTCTGTACTTTCTGGAACGAGAGCATGCAGTGGACAGCACTAGGACACCATGTCCTAGGCAAGAATGGGCACTTGATCCTGTTTCATGAGGTTAGTTCGGACATGGTAGAAAGAGCATGAATGAGTCAGGCCCATTATGCCAGCACACCTGGGTGCAGCCCTATGCTCAGGTCTCCTCACATCTCTCCTCAGATTTCGCCGCAACCTTCTCCTCAGCTGGCCTTCGTGCCACAGCTGTGTCTTGGCTGTTGCCGGGAGTCAAGTGCTGGAGTGAGCGTTGAGACGCTCTCAATATGCCTCAATAGAGGATGCCGTAGCTTTCAACGTGTAACCTGCTGCTCTGGACGTGCGCGGCATCGGACCGCGCCTACCAAAAGATATGCAGCACTTAGATCACAATACCGTGAATACCTGAGACAGAATTCGAGGCCGATAGGCACCAAACTCATGTCTCATGTGCCGTTTGTGCCATGGCTCTCTATCTACATCTATCCACCTGCGTTTGCTCTTCACAGGCTTTTGTCTCCACTGACCACTCCCAACCCGTCGCCGCGTGCTGAGCTTGAGCATTTGGGGTTTTCGCCAGAGCTTGCGTTCATCAGTATCACAAGAAGCAATAAAGATCCATTTCGCTTGGGGTGGAAAGCCGAAGTCTCCAACGAATATGCCATGAGATCAGTCCAAAGACTATCAGCCGGCCCCTGTTCAAGTGGCCTCCGTCACAGGAATCCTCCTGAGCAAGCATGGAGGTTCTATGTAACTGAATACTCTCGTGTGTAAAATGCAGCCGCTCGATTTGCGCAGTCGGAGCCTCTGCAGTAGTGAATCTTGTAGATGTATCAACGTGTACCAGTTACCAGCCCTCGTGTAGTATGACCAATGAGGTTGCCCACGGACGGGGGTCAATCAGAAAATGTCGTGTTCGTGAAATGCGCAAGCGATTCTTACTGGGGGAAGGAGTCTGCCGCATCCTGCGTCAGGCAATCCCTTTTAAAGTCTAGGTATGCCAAGCCAGTTGGAGCAAAGAAGTGACTGCAGCCAGGTGCTGCAGTGTATGCTTATGCGATCAGATAATGGACAGCATTCATTCATCACTTGCTGCGAAAAGTGCTCCTCCCGTGATTCAAAGATGGGATGGCTACTAGACTTAGACGATAGGGATTACAAGCCGCTACTAGATCCAAGCAAACGGGGGGACTCTAAGGCATGCCTCTCCGGAGCACTCCCGCCCGCCACAGCCTTGGAAAGTCTTGCGTAGCATGAGCGTGCAAGGGGCTGTAAATGGCTGAGATTGCGTGAGGAGTTGCGGGATCAACCTGTTGGCAGCAGTCATTCGGCTGGTGGGTGGGGTGGCGTTGAAGCTTCAGCCCTGGATCAGCCCACAGAGTCAGCACGCCGCCGAGGCAGTCGCCCGACTCGCGACCGGCATCTCCACCGCAACAGCCAGCGTCCCAGGGCACCTTCGAGTGACTACGTAGCGTCAAATTCGCCATGGAGGATCTCTTGGTCAGGCAATTGCTTTGTCGACAAAGCTGTGGGACTTGAAGCTTCAGATTCCTCATCCACCAAGCTGTAGAACCTTGACACCCCCCCAACATTGCGCTGGAGGGCGATGACTCTGACCATCCAAGCAATGCGCTGCTATCGACGCCGGAAAGCTTTTATGCCGAATCTTCTCTCCAACCTGCTTGCAACAGGTATTCGCAACAGAAGCAACAGCATGCAAAGCTACTGATGCCTCAATTCGTTGTTACTTCCCGAAGCCCGACCCTGAAAGCTTTATGAAGTTCAGCCTACCCAACGGACGAGGCCGCAGCCTGCACCGTCTCCCTTCCCAGTGGGGCTGCAGGACCAGCCCTGCTTGGGTTGCCTTTCATTGTTTAACAGCATCAGAATTTATCCTACATTCTGACGCCCGTCGTAGTGCAGAGTATACTTCTGCAGAACTTCTGCATCAAGCTTGCCGAGTCTGGTGTCCCGCCTTGACGAGCGGAGCACGAGCGAGACAGCGTGCGTAGAAGAAGGCAAACAGTGTAGAACTTGCTTGAACCTCTACCGGTAAACCGGAGCCATAACTTGAGCGGCGCTTCCGCCTGCCAGGGATTTCATCCGCAGCCTCATACGATCAGGCTGGCTGCCTCATGCCACCCTCACGCCATCCGATAATCGCCCCGAACTACCATGTCAAGCGTGCCCCGTTTGTCGCCGAAACTGTGCGGCAGCAGCAGGGTAGCGTCAGTAATTGAAGTAGATGTGAATGGCTGTGTCTAATTTTCGTATCATGGGCCGAGACTCGGGAAAGGCTTTGTTTGACTTGTCACCCTTCCTTCGAGTTGGTACCAGGTGGAGCGCAGCTGACTTGTTTCACTGCGGAACCATGACGGCAGTTGCACGTTGCAGGCCCAAAATTCGCTGTGTGCGTGGCCGGCAGGCATTCGCTGAACATGGAGACCGGCATGCACCAGGCTGTCAACTGAAGTGAAGCTGCCGGAGCCTGCCGGCAGTTGAACATTTGTTCGCGATTTCGATGAGTAGGCGCTGGTGCCTCGTCGTCTTTCGAGCCCGCTACTGTATGTTGGTTATCGCAGCACACATTGTCAAGATTTCATCGCTCCCATCCCGAAGAAGTGTCTGTGCTTGGTCAAAGCGGGATGCATCTCTTTAGGAAATGGCCAAAGGGGCTGAAGTGTCCTTCCCGCTGCCTGGCAGGTCTTTTGGCACGTAGACGCTTTGAAGCTCAAAGGCCAGGAAAGGCAGCTTCTTGGTTAGAAAATTCGTTTGCGCCATTTGTCACTTGTCTTTCCTACAGAAACCTCTAGTTTTCATTTCCGGCAGAAGGAGGCATCCTTTCAAGATCCTGTCCAGCTGCAGTTCGTTGAAGTCGGTCATGTTCTCACACGGTCAGGATTCCCCATTTAGCACTGTCGTGTGCTTAGGACGGTCTCTCCGTCCTTCGAGCTGCCCTTTGAAGGACAGAAGCGTCCTGTTGGGGAGTCTTCTGAATGGCGGCTTCTGAAGCTCTGTCAGAGTCAGAGCTCCAAGAAGCATGGCCTTTGTCTCGGAATCCAACCCGCAGCTCACTCTGATCTTCCTTCGCATGCCTTCAGGACAGGTCAGCTTTCGGCTTCGTGGCAGCAGCTAATCCAGGTCTCTGCAGACAAGGACTGCCAGCCTTGTAACCAGGGGCACGCTGACCCTCGTTGCGAACTTAGGCATGGCGATTAGGTCATGTAATGAGGTTTCTGGCAAACATGTTCACCGACTAAATGTGCTCCCATGGTATCGTTCAAGCGGAAGAAGTGCGTAGTCACATCAATGCATGACGTGTCAAGATCATAGAAAGGGTACGGGAATTGTAGCGGAGCGTCCTGGCAGTTTGAGCAGAGCTCCCCCAGCAGTCCAGGAAATGGATTGTGTTGTGGCATCGGGAGCGAGTTGCATTCGGATTATTTAATGTGCTCGTTGAGTTGAAGCCCAGGCTGGTCTTGCTTCCGAAGCCCAATCCGGATGGGAAGGGCCTCTTGGCAGCAAGTAGGCTTGAGCAGCGCTCCTGCATTGGGGAGATTATGTCAGTCGTGTTTCGGGGATCAGAGACGTGTTACGTGTTGCCATCACGCGCACCATACTAGATGGTCGAAGCTCCAATTTTACGGATTTGCCACCCCTGCGCGCAATGCGATCTTGCTGTGGACCCCATCCGCGTGCCTCTCGCTGGAATGCAACAGGCACGAGAATAACACGAAGCACCACACATCACAGATCACAAATCCTTGGAAAGATCCACTTTGTTCGGTCGGCCTTGGAAGCACGTTCAAAACATGGACTCTCGTGCTTCCGGCAAGCCTTCTGCCACGAAGTTTCTGCTCCATACTCAAAACACAGAGCCATGAGAGCTAGCGGCTGTGCATCAGAAAGGTGGTGCCTCCCTGAAGAAGTCTGGTGGCGTGGGCAGCGTGCACCTGAAGTGCGAGGCCGGCCCGGCCGTTGAGACCTTGTGTGCTCTGATGCTCAAAGCTTCTCCTCCCTAGACTGGATGCAGCCTAAGCGCCTTTGAATCCCTGACGGCCTGCCGACAGCTTGGGAGAGGCTGCTGAGTGTGAGCTAACGGGGCTTGCGCGCTTTGTCTGCTGATGCTGGCAGCCTTTGCCGGCAACCTCTGAGGCTGCAAGGGGCCTCGTGAATTTTTTTGTGCTTCGGCCGGCATTGGCGATTCTACACCTGCGTAAGAAGCGTCAAGTCAGCACGCTTTTGGCCTAAATGTATTGTACCGTAGACTCTTTTGGACTGTCCGCGCTCTTGCCTTCCGCATAAATCTGAGGTGTCCATTAGACTCTCGGCAGCAGAATGTGTCCATTTTTAACAACAGCTTCAGCAGGCTCTGTACTTGCCGGTCTGGGAAAGGGGCCCTAGGGTGATCGGCGCTGGAAGGGACTTCGATAATTTCGATACTCCTCTCCTTCACCATGGCCCAGGCAGTGGACGCGCCGACTTCAAGCGCGACCCGCGAGGACCGGTGCCTGCCTCAAAAGCTGGGAGGATGTTTGTTGTGCGTGGGTGTGCGTGGGTGTGTGTGTGTGTGTGTTTGTGTGTGTGTTTGGTGTGGGAGGGAGGGGGTGGGAGGAGGGAGGCTCGCGTTTGGGCTTCGTGAGTCTGGACCCTGCTCCACAGGGTGTTCACCTTGGTGGCCGAGTCATCTCGGGACGGGTTCAGGAGCAAAGTTCTGAAGGGGTCACTGGCAGTAGTAGTAGTAGTAGTAGTAGTAGTCGTAGTCGTAGTCGTAGTCGTAGTCGTAGTCGTCGTCGTCGTCGTCGTCGTCGTCGTCGTGGTCGTCGTAGTCGTAGTAGTCGTCGTCGTCGTCGTCGTCGTAGTGGTCGTGGTCGTGGTCGTGGTAGTGGTAGTGGTAGGGGAGAGGGGTCAAATCGAAGCGCGGAAAGGGGTCAAATCCAAACGCAAGAAAGGGTCAAATCCAAACGCCGAAAAGGGTCAAATGCAAACGCGTTTCTGTCAGTGCAGTACTATTTACAAGGGGTTTGTTTGGCTTCCGTGGTTTCCTTGGTTTCTATGGCTTCTATGGTTTCTATGGCTTGCCTGGTTTCCTGGGTTTCCGTGGTTTCTATGGTTTCTACGGCTTTCTTGTTTCTTGATCTGGGCTTCTATGGCTTGCATGGCTGCCATGGCTGCCATGGCTTCCTTGGCGTTTATGGTTTCCATGCGTTCCCCGGTTTCCATGGTTTCCTTGGTTTCTATGGTTCCCTCGGCTTTCATGGTTTGTGTGGCTTCCACGGTTTCCTCGGTGTCCATGGTTTCTATTCCTTGTAGGGTTTCCCTGGTTTCCTTGGCTTCTG